ATAATCAACATCATCATCATCATCCTGATCATCATCAACAACAACAACATCATCAACATCATCATAATAGTGATAATAATAATCAACATCATCATAAACATGTTGTTGATGATGATAATAATAATGATAATAATATTTATTGAGGGAAGGTAACTCTGTAGCTACTAGTTTATATACGATTAATGCTTTACCATGTGATTGACAAAATACACAAATTGCTTCATGAAAAAGATAATAATTGGTACAATTTGACATTTTTGGTATAATTGTAATTCATTTTTATATTAGAAGAGTCACAACTTCATTTACATAAACAATTTAATTTTTTAAAATTTGATGAGTTGTTTGATTACCTGGTTCAGAGGCTACTACGAGGCTTGTTTCGCCTGGGAAGAGAGAAGGGGTTGATGTTACATCTACATGGAGTCTTGTAGAGTTTATCTGAAAATAATTATGATAACAGATAACAGACCTCATTGGGCTGCATGCTTAAGATTTCTAAGCTTGATATACATCTAACTGTAAGATCTTGAAGATAAAGCTGTATCAGTCTAAGTATTAACTTGTGGTGGCAATAATTAGCAATATTAACAGCTAACTCAGTAAATGCAACTGTAGAGATCATTCTTATAAAAACAATTAACATAAAGTGCTTTTCAAAAGTTTGTTTTTAATTAAAGTAAATTAAATTACAAGGAATGTAACTGTTCAGATCAGAGCACATTGAAAATATATCACGAATGATGTTTTTTGTGATATCTTTTTCGATTCTATTCATAAAAGGAAAGCTATTGAAGGAAACACTTCCAATACCGAAAAAAAAACAAAAGAATTTAATGACAGGGCGTAAATTATGCGACAAACCGAATCTAAAATGTGCAAAACTGACCAAGATTATATATTGAAACTTCGATCATTCACAGTGGGATACTGAACGCATGAACCAAGCAAAAAACACCAAATACATTTGTAAAATTAAAGAAAAGCGAAGGTTAACATCTCGTGAGAAGTGAGAACAATATTTGCTTGCTTTTATTAGATGGTAAATCAAGGTTTTTAAAAGCCCTTCAGCCCCTGAACAAGAACGATAATAACCCAAAACCACAATTCTGATACGTAATTGTAGATGGCAATCTGATAACCAGAGAGTTAGTAGTGCAGAGGAGTTCTGCTCTACTAACTCCGTGATAATAGACTGAAAATACTATTATGGCTTTGAAAATAGTTTTCCTCGGAATATATCACGGGCAGAGAGGAAATATACGCCATAGGATGGAAAAGACATGGCAATGCTGAAAAATAACAGCAAAAACGACAAAACCTTCCTAGAAGACTGACCTTTGAATTTGTAGCTTGATTAACAGAATGTAATAGAATCGTTAACAAAATTCCATAGCAGAAAGTATAGAACATTTTACTAAAACTGGAAGAAGCTCTTAACTTAGACTAGTAAACGTTCAAGATTGAAAAGTCTCCATAAATTGCTATGAAATTTCGGATAATCAATTTCTCACAGATCGATGAGACAGCAAGCTGAAGATGCTGGCAACTGAGGTCAAGTGTTACTACACTGCTCATGTAAACAATATTGGAATATTGTATAATATGGCATTCGTATTGGTTAACTGCTTGCCATGGAATGCGGCTAAGCACGTGAAATTTAACCGGTTTTAACGGAAGTGTAAAATTTAATTAAATTGAAGCTTAGGGTTGGCGCCTTGCAATCTTTGAACAAATTGATTAGAGTAATCATGCCATATTCTTTTAATCAATAAACGCAGTTCAAAGGGATCGGTTGGAATATGATTTGAAGATCTGTAACTCCATTCTTTTCTTTTCAACCCAGTATCCCGTCGGAAAATGTTCTGCCACAGATAACCCATTTGACAAACTAGTTTAGCTCCTTCAAACAAAATTCCTCGAGTAGGTTTCAAGAAGCTTAGCAAACGAAGGTATTCTAACAAAATTTTTATTGGGATAAATAAATTAAATTTTAAATTTTGCAACTTTCAATTTCATTAGATTTTAAGGTTTTACAATTTAGACGGAGTTTCATAATCAATCAATCATCCAATTAATTTAAGTTAATGACGTCATATAAGTTGTATAAGTAAAGCCACGCGCGCAAACTACATCGATGATACGCGTGCGCAATAACGCGAAAATGCGTTTATTTTTCACTGTTCTGTGTCTGGTACTGTGTTCTGTGTCTGACACATTTTTATCAGGTAATCCATAAAATAAGTAATATAAGCTTTCACAGAAATAACCAGTTAAAAATTAGGGTTTTGTTTTAATTAGCTTTCCGAATTTTTTCTCTCTCGGATGTGTAAGGAGCGCAAAGTTACGGTACCTCAAGGAATGGAGTACGGCATGAGAATGGAAAGATTAGGATTTCTTGGCCTTATCTTATTTTGCATTTTTCCCATTTTTTCACGAGTGTAGTTAGATTTCTTATACGAAATCTGCCGTTTATCAACTGCACGTATATGATAACGTAGTTTAGTAAGGTTTTAAATTGCTTTTGATGCTATGATATCTAATGATAAGTTATTGCAAGAGAAAATGAAATAAGAGAATGAATATCTGGTAATCATGCTTGTATTATTTATAAACCATGGTAGGCACCGTTTGATTCTATTTTTAGAAGCACATTTGCCATCGTTTGTTTTTGTGCACGCGCAAACTGCGCTCGCTCTACGCTGTTTGCTTACCTTTTTTTTGAAAAGCAACAGAGACATGAGCAAACAGGGTAGAGCGCGTGCAGTATGCCCGTGCACAAAAACAAACGATAAAATAAATGATTCTCAAAATAGCATCGAAGAGTGCTCATGATGGGGCGCGGGGATTCCTTCTCTTTGTTCATATTCTCTTGGTTATTGGTATTTAGACTTACTGAGTTCGTGCAAGGTGAGTGTGGGTATCACCAGTCCAGCCAAAACGCGAGATCATCAGATGACATCATCGAGCCACTTGCAGACATTCAATGCTGAGAATGCACGTCTTAATGGACCAAGAGCCTGGTGTCCGGGTCTCTCTGTACAAGGCTCTCCTCAACCGCAACAACCTGCCTGGTTGCAAGTCAATCTTTTGGTTTCTCATTTTATTTGTCAATTTGGCGTGCAAGGAAGTCCAGTCCACAATGAATGGGTTACACTTTACCGGGTTTCGTATTCAATGGATGAAAAGCGTTGGGAAAAAGAAGAAGTAAGTAAGTTACTTGGTATTTAATTTAGGGCAAAAATATTGTTAATCAGTAGACAGTTATGCTTCTGGACGATTTTAAATATGAGCAAGAAGAATTAAGTGAGGGACATCTATGAACTACTTGCTACTTGCTGATGCCAATAAATTCGATAAAGAAGAATAAATTAAGTGAAAGACATCCAAGAACTGCTCAAATGGGTTTTATCTTGTAGACGTAATTTGATCATTACAGCCTTTAGGAGACCTAGAAACCTTAAGCGTCTACAAGAATAAAGTCCATTTGATATATATATATATATATATATGAAATAATTCTCAATTTTGTAAAGAAACGGTGTATATATATATATATATATATATATATTTTGCTATATATATATGTATATATATATATATAGCAAACGTCAAAAATGGACTAGAATAGAATAGAATAGACAGCATAGAGCGCGGGCAGTACTATAACCAGTTCAACCGAAAATAAAACGTTCGTCAAAAATTACCTCGAAAATACCAAATGTATTCTTAATCATTTTATGTGGGTGTGCACAGATTACTCAAGTTCGTGCAAAAAAGATACTTTTAGTAAGGGAAATTATTGAGAACTTGTGCCATATAATGTTCATATTCTTCTATTATTATCTTTTTTTGGCAGTATTTTTCACGAGGAAACAGGAACCGTATGCAGGAAAAAGTTTCCGTTTCTCCCATCCCTCGCCTCGCTAAATATGTTCGGTTTACTGTACTACACTATCACAACTATCCTTGCATGAGGGTGGAGCTTTATGGAAAGAAGGGTAAGAACTTTAGCGTTCAATGTCTCAGATGCTTTATGATTTTGCTGCAAAGGTAGTATCTCTTCTTAGCACCTTTAGAAGGATATAAAGAGTTTAAAGAAGTGAAAAACTGATTTTCTTAAGATTTTGCTTAACAAATGACGTCAACACTATGAGCGCACGCGCAATAAATCATACGTACAAAGTACTCACTCAAGCGATGCCCATGAGCATCCCTGTTAAGTTTTACATTTAAAAAAAGCGTGGAATATAATCACGGTTTTTTCTGCTACATTTCAGTGTGGGACTTCCAAAGCAGCTTTATAACCTATCTCTCGAGTCAACATTCGTATATTCGTGTAAAGCCCAGTGGAACAGAAAACTGGGCCGACAACCACGAAAGCATCCAATCAATTGATCTTGACGTTGAGACGGACATAGGTAGTAGTGCAAAAGACAAAAAGCTCGTTCACTATCTTTCAGCCAACAAAGACATATTTATTGATTTGCCTCCTGAGCCGAGTGGTATTTCTCCTGGTAATGAAGTTTTAATAGTGATTCCTAACGCTCGTTATCTCTCAGGTAAGATAATCATGGTACATGACGATCATGGTAAATGCTCTTTTCATTTACAATATCATTGGCTTAACCAACCATAGCGCGAGGCTGATATCGCCATTTATATTATTAAGTTAGCAATTATTCGCCAATTATTTACCGAGCCGCGAGTCTTCGAACGGCGAGATAAATATTCACCATAATCAAAGAGCCCAAGGGGAATAATTGTCTTAGCATAATTTTAGATTCGAATATCAGAGAAAAGTCGAAATTCAGGATACAAAAAAAAGTCTTAGTATTTCTTCCGATCTGGAAAACTTTAGAAAACCTCATAAACAACGCTCCAGCGGTGATTATCGTCTCAGAATCACTGGTAGCTCAACCAATCACAGCGCGAGAGACTATGTTGAAGGTGGCTGCCTACTTTTGAACGTTCGATTTGAGCCCAAGATGTGCGCCCTTCGTACAACCGGACCCTGGACGTTGCCTGCGACCAATCGGTGGTGTTCATCGCCGCAGCATGGCTTTAATTTTTGACAGCATCAAGCATCAAGCATCATCATCAAGGCCTGATCGTACGCCAACCATGCCGTTCCGGTAAAATGTATGCAGGTGCAGGAGCGGTTTATCAGGAGTTCGTAGCTCAAAAAATCCCGCCACCGCTTGTGATGGAATAGAGCGGGAGCTTCGATCGCGCTAGCCACATCTGCGACGTTTGAACTCATCGCCAAGAATATGTGACATTTGCCACGCGTCAGCTTTGTGACCATGTAACCTATACGCATGCGCCGAGCGTTACTTGTACTTAAGATATGATAAGATAAGATAAGATAAGGTAGCTATATTTCAAGAGGGTGGCCCATTCAGCATAGTGGATATCCATAGGAGCCCTGCAAAACTAGTTTACAATTTAAAAAATAGGATTTTTGTAATAATGAATATTAATAGAAATAAGACCGATGAAAAATATGACCTAATGAGCCTTTTGAATACATTTATATATGTAATTGATTTGATATTTGCTGAAAGTGAATAGCGCAGCGCAACCGTGACGTCATAAAAACGAAGACAAAGCCGAAATTCGGACAAACAAACTTACAAGTTTACTTTCAGCAGATAATTTTCGTAGCCGATCGCAGTTGATCTTAGTTTACATGGGTTATTATTGTAACTTTAAGTAAAAATAATAAAATCGGTTCGTATAATCCTCGTAGCGATTAAACAGAATGCAATGTTTGTCCGAATCTTTAAGCTATTTTTAGAATCAGCGCGCTGCGCTATTGAAAAGCATTGAGGCTGAATATCTGAAAGTTCGTTTACCTAAAGAAAGCTTAGGTTTTGGTAAATGTATTTTGTATTGAAATTCACAACCGAAGCTAGCGGAACAGTGACAAGCTACAAATTCCAATGTGTAGAACAAAGTTAGCTCAACAGTCTTTTCCTATAGAGCTCAGTATTGACATTTGCAATTTCATTCACAAAAGTATTACACAGATAAACTCAGTCAAACTCTTGAAAAAGTCTCTTAAGAGTAGTCTAATGACGGAATGGTTGGCTGACTAGTTCCATTTAATACTATAATAGGTAATAATGAGTAGTTATAATAATGATAATTATTATTATCCGTGGATCCGTGCGCGAGCTTTTCGTCATTCTTTGTGTCTGTCCTTTTTATTGATCATAGCTGTCAGCCAATCAGATTGCGAAAATACGCTCTGTTATTGTAAAAACTGATCATGGTATTTAAACCCTTGTTTAGGAAAAGTAACAGAAGTTCAAGGAAGTGATCTATACGTAATCAGAAGATCAGGTATGAATCAGAAAATTCAGTCATTGATATTTCAATAAATTAATATTCATTGTTATTCCATCAAAGAAGTGTTCCACTGTAAGTGACTGTTCATTAACAAAAGACAACGAATAATAATAATAATAAGGAATAATTTATATAGCGTCGATATCCTTAAGTTCAAAGACG